TGCCACAGTGGGTAAACTTCACAGGCGGGTTGTCAACCGGAGTTTCTTATTTTGAGTTGTTACCGGGAGGTGCTGGTGTCCAACTTCTGGTTCAGTTCATGGCAATCTATGGGGGAGATCTTTGTTCACCCGTGGACTTGTAGAGGCTGTAAGATGGATGCACTGATTGCTTCTAAAAAATTTTTTTTTTCGCTAACAAGATTGCAGTGTAGTGGCGGTTGAGAATATACTACACTACCCCATATCTTCCCGTGGGTGTCGTAAGAGGCGACAGAGGGACACAGAAAGGAGATGGGCAGCAGCATCTTCCTAATAACAACAATAACATAATAAAAAACTGCGGTTGCCAACCCGCTCGCCAAGCGTGGCAACTATGGCAAATATCTCTATATAAATAGTCTCCGGCGGCCCCACTATTCCTGGCTACGGTGGCAACCATGGTAACGGCGGGGCAGGGGGTGCTAAGAATCTCCGGTGGAGGTTCGGTTGCCACCTACGACGACTCGACCTTGCAACGTATAACGCACGCACCCTGAGGACTGACGAGAAGATACTGGAGCTGGAAGAAGAGGTAGACAAGTTGCGCTGGCATATTATTGGATTATCTGAGGTCCGAAGAGAGGGGGAGGACACGGTAATCCTCGAGTCCGGCAACTTGTTCTATCACCGGGAGGGCGACCATCTGTCCCAAGGAGGTGTCGGATTTATCGTCCACAAGTCTCTCATCAACAACGTTGTAAAGGTTGGGAGTGTGTCGACGAGGGTCGCGTACGTTATACTCAGAATCTCCAAACGGTATTCGCTGAAGGTCATACAGGTTTACGCACCAACCTCGGCACATCCCGATGAGGAGGTGGAGGAAATGTATGAGGATATTTCTAGAGCCATGCACTCCTCCAAAACCCACTACACGGTATTGATGGGAGACTTCAACGCAAAACTAGGCACAAGAGAAGGCGGTGAGCTGAAGTTAGGCAATTTTGGAGTAGGGCAACGGAACTATGGAGAAAGAGGGACTCTTTATGATGAACTCTTTCTTCCAGAAGCGGCCCCACGGGAAGTGGACCTGGTCGAGCCCGACGGTTCGACAAAAAATGAGATTGACTTCATTATGACGACCAGACGCCAACTGTTCAGTGATGTCTCAGTGATCGCAAGGGTGAAAACCGGCAGCGATCACCGAATGGTTAGAGGCACACTGAACCTAAATGTTAAGTTGGAGAGGTCTCGTCTAATGAAGTCAACGCTCCGTCCCCCTCGTGCTCTAATCCAGAATCCCGAGACTTTTCAGCTCGAGTTACGTAACCGCTTTCAGTGCCTAGAAGATTGCAATGCAGTGGACGATATGAATGACAAGCTCGTGGAAACTGTCCATGCGGTCGGAGCTAAGTTCTGCAAGACCCGCCGCAGAAGAACACAAAAACTCTCCGATCACACTCTTTAATCTCATGGCTGTTAGACGGGAGATGAGTCTGCAATCGTCAACAGATTTGACAGCACACAGACAACTGAACAAACAGATCTCCAAATGCATGCGGCAAGACTTACGCAACTTTAATTCTGCTCGTATTAAAGAAGCGATCGAGCGGAACCAGGGCTCCAAAGTCTTTGCCAGAGATTTGTCTGCCAGAAAGAGCCAACTGACAAAGCTGAAGACTGAGTGTGGCAGCATCGTTTCCGGGACACCTGAGATTTTGAGTGAGATTGAGAGGTTCTATGGGCAGTTGTACACATCATTTGCGTTGGATGCCACACGCAAGTGTGAGTAACGATACAAAAGTAAGTCTTACCCGACACTATTCCGATGATATCCGGACGTCAGTCTGAGCGAGATTAGAATGGCTCTCCAGCACCTTAAAAACGGCAGGGCCCCAGGCGAGGATGGAATTACAGCGGAGCTTCTGAAAGCGGGTGGAACACCGGTACTTGAAGTCCTTCAGAAGCTTTTCAATTCCGTCCTCCATGGTGGCACTACTCCGGAGGCGTGGAGCAGAAGTGCGGTGGTCTTGTTCTTTAAGAAAGGCGACAACGCTCTCTTGAAGAACTACAGACCGATTTCCCTTCTGAGCCGCGTCTACGTGCTGTTTTCGAGAGTCATTACGAATCGTCTCGCACGCAGACTCGACGACTTCCAGCCTCCCGAACAAGCCAGTTTCCGAAAAGGCTTCAGTACCATAGACCACATACATACCCTGCGGCAGATTGTACAGAAGACCGAAGAGTACAATCTGCCACTTTGCCTGGCGTATGTGGACTATGAGAAAGCCTTTGATTCCGTCGAAATTTGGGCGGTGCTACAGTCCATTCAGCGGTGCCAAGTTGACTGTTGGTATATCGAAGTGCTGAAGTGTTTGTACAGTAGTGCTACGATGGCTATCCGAGTAGAGAACCAAAGTTCGAAACCTATCCAACTGCAGAGAGGTGTAAGACAGGGTGACGTTATGTCCCCGAAACTCTTCACCGCTGCGTTGGAAGACGTTTTCAAGCTACTGGACTGGAAAGGATACGGTATTAACATCAATGGCGAGTACATCACTCACCTTCGATTTGCCGACGATATAGTCCTTATGGCAGAATCGCTGGAGGACCTTAATACTATGCTCAATGACCTCAATGGTGTCTCCCAACGGATAGGTCTTAAGATGAACATGGACAAAACAATGATTATGTTCAATGTCCATGTCACACCTATGCCGGTAGTTGTGGGGAGCACTGTGCTCGAAGTTGTTGACGTGTGACCAGTGCGTGTTGCCAGTGATGACTTACGGATCTGAGATGTGGTCCTTCACTGCTGACCGTTTGAGGACGCTCAAGGTCGCTCAGCGAGCTATGGAGAGGGCTATGCTCGGAGTTTCTCTGCGTGATAGACTCAGAAATGAGGATATCCGCAGTAAAACCAGAGTGACCGACATAGCCCAACGAATTAGTAAGCTGAAGTGGCAATGGGCCGGCCATATAGCTCGAAGAACCGATAACCGATAGGGAAGAAAGGTTCTCGGGTGGCAGCCTCGTACCGGTGGGCGTAGTGTAGGGTGACCCCCCTACTAGATGGAGTGACGACCTGGTAAAACATGCAGGAAGTCGATGGATGCAGGTGGCTCAGGACCGTGCTTTGTGGCATTACTTGGGGGAGGCCTATGTTCGGCAGTGGACTTGTGAAGGGCTGTAATGATGATGAAATGATGATGATAACAAGATTTATTTCAAAATGTTTTTAATAGTTATAACAAAAATAACGTACAGGCTTCTGGGCGTATAAGACAATTATTAAGTTTTGCCTCGATTAATCTGGCGTTATTTAGATTTAATGTAAACAAAGACCAATCATTTTATCAAATTTTTCCGATCTAGATCTAGATTCCTCATCTCACAATACTCACAATCAGTTTACCATTCCTGAGATGTAATACTACCTTCATAAAAATGTCTATCTATACATCTTTAGTGATATAAATAAAGACATAAATAGGCAAGGCGTCGCGTGCGTGGACGCACAGACAGACAAAACTTTTAATTTTGCCTATTTATGTCTTAACATTATGCAAATAAGCTACAAAGCTTAATAGAAGCCAGTTGTTTTAATACAACGGACGGACACTTTAATTTTATTTATATCTATCTAAAGATGTATAGATAGACATTTTTATGAAGGTAGTATACAATATAATATACCCACCAAAATCATAAACGCGACTATTTTACTTACGCGATCGTTCAAGGTTAAAGAAATTACATAACAGTTCTCAACAGTCCTCGACGCACCTGTCCCACTAAATAGCTCTTTCATTTCTTTTATCTTCTCCTATCACTAGATACCGACTCTCTTTTAAAAGCTACTTTTTATTGCGTGGTAGGACTTTTTTCTGCGTAGGACTCCATCTGGATAGACAGCACACTCTATTGCGTGGTAGGACTCCTTTCGTGTCTAGGACTCCGTCTGGCTAGACAGCACAATTTTAGCTATATCTGTTGCTACAGGACAGTGCTCGGACTGCTTGGTAGGACTCCTTCTCTGTCTAGGACTCCGTCTGGCTAGACAACACAATTTTGGCTATATCTGTTGCCACAGGACAGTGCTCGGACTGATGTGTTCTGGACAGGTATACAGAGTCAGTGTATTTACAGCGTGGTAGGACTCCTTTCCTGTCTAGGATTCCATCTGGCTAGACAGCACAATTTTAACTATATTTGTTGCCATAGGACAATGCTTGGACTGCTGTGTTCTGGACACGTATACAGAGCCAGTGTGTTTACAGGCTGTGGAGCATTATGTCTGAGTCTTCAGAGACGACAACGCACCTGAAGGCTTCTTTGTTTGACGTTGGTTGCAGGTGTACATGTGCTACAGTTGTCACTTAGTCCACATCAAGTGGACCGTAAATAAGCTTACTGAGCTATGAATAGCCCGCAATTCTTATAAATTACTTTTTTATAGGATAGGGTGACTAAAGAGCACACAGTCCACCTGATGGTAAGTGGTTGCTGCGGCCCATAGACATCTATTCGTATCTATCCTCGATTACAAATCAAAATACAGATGTGTTGTCACCCGTAAGGAATAAGATGGAATGCCTCATTTCCAGTAAAAAGAGTCTCCGGTTCTCTAAACGTCACGATACGTAAAACAGCAGCATTAAGCTTCTATTTTACGCTGGTATTCTGTGAGAGGGTGGTCCTTCCCCGGTCGAGCCGACTCATTCGTGCTACAACTATACTACTGCAGCACGACAAATTACAGCTCTGTTTCTCACTAGATTAAAAAATTCTTAGTAATTTTGTTTGAACCCGAATGCTTATGTTATTTGATTATATTACCTGTTATTAATTATTGCACAGCTTCATACAAAACAGTAAGGAAATAAAAGATATTCAAGTATGTACAAGAAGAAAACCAAAGATAAAATTTAACTATTAATAATCGTCAACATAATTTTAGGATTTTAAAGGAAAACAAAACTCAAAGTTCAATAACCAATAATAGAAACGAATTTTAATTACTAATGCAGTTAATCACAACCTATAAAGAGACTCTAAAGGTACTCAATATGTTAGCTTATTCGGAACAAATTTAGCAGAAAGAATAAAGAATGCAAAAATTATACAGAGATCTGGAAAAGATCTGAAAGAAAAACAGGAGCGACTTAAGGGGCCAACAAAGACTTTAAACTGGCGGGGCCCTCCTCAGTTGAGCACCAGGCTGGGGGGGGAAGAGAGTAACCAAGCCCAAAAACAAGCAGCAGCAACAACAACAGAAACCACTGCCTCCTCGACGATATTAGAGGTTCCTACACCACAGGTAGGAAGACTGCAATATTATATAAATAATTGGCAAAGATTGACTAATGAACCTGTCATACTCAATTGGGTTAAGGGATATTCAATTCCATTTGAACACATACCTATACAAAATAATTTTCCCTTAAATAATAATTTTTCATTAACTGAGTTAAGTCAATTAAAAATAGAAATTAATAAGTTGTTGTCTATACAGGCTATAGAGACTTGTGAACCAGTGCATGACCAATTCTGTTCACCAATATTTTTAGTTAGAAAACCAAACGGGGACTTTAGATTTATTTTAAATCTAAAGGAACTCAATAAATTTGTTAGAATGGATCATTTCAAATTAGAGGACTATCGTACAGTGTTAAAATTAATTAACAAAGATGATTATTTGGCAACAATTGATATTAAGGATGCATATTATATGATAAGTATTAAGTTAGATCATAGGAAATACCTACGTTTTTATTTTAACAACAAACTCTATCAGTTTAATGTACTCCCCTTCGGCCTTTGTACAGCACCTTATGTTTTTACAAAGATTTTAAAACCAATCAATGCCAGGTTAAGAGAAGATGGGTTACGCCTGGTTCAATATTTAGATGACTATATACTTATTTGTAGTAATTACAATGAATGTGTTGAAAAGATACAGTTAACTCTAAAATTATTTACTAATTTAGGATTTATAGTCAATATTAATAAGTGTAATCTCACCCCCTCACACCAGTGCAAATTCTTAGGACTAGTTTTCAATACAGAAAACATGTCTATATCTATAACAAGAGAAAAAAGAGAAAATTGCCTTCGCTTGATCAAAAAATTAAGTAAGAAACCATTATTTTCTATAAGATTTTTAGCTCAGGTGTTAGGAACACTAGTATCTGTTTGTCCAGCAATTAAATATGGTATGTTATATACAAAATTGCTTGAGCGACATAAATACTTATCACTTTTAAAATATAATAATAATTATGAGGCACAAATTTCACTACCTAACCATTGCAAACAGGATTTGAAATGGTGGGCTGAAAAAAGTTAAATATTCTACAAGCCCAATAAGAAAGAGTGATTTTGTTTTAGAAATACACACTGATGCTTCCAACACGGGTTGGGGTGCCTCATGTGCTGGACAGACAGCTAGTGGGCCCTGGACAGAACAAGAATCAAAATTACATATCAATACTTTAGAATTAAAAGCTGCTTTCTTCGGGCTAAAGAGTTTCACAAAGAATCTAAAAAATATTGAAATATTGTTACGAATAGATAATACTACTGCAATAGCTTATATAAACAGGCTAGGTGGTATACAATACCCCCACTTGTATGATATTGCTAGGCAAATTTGGCAATGGTGTGAAGATAGTAACCTCTGGATTTTTGCATCATATATTAACACTAAAGATAATGTCACTGCTGATTTTCAATCAAGGAAGAATATTGGCCACACTGAGTGGGAGCTAGGGCAGATGTATTATAGGAAAATTGTGCAAACCTTCGGTACACCTGAAATAGATTTGTTTGCATCTCGAACAAATGCTAAGTGCAAAAAATATGTGTCGTGGCACCCGGACCCTAATGCAATCAATGTAGATGCTTTTACATTATGTTGGTCCCAGCTTTTCTTCTACGCTTTTCCACCATTTTCACTAGTATTAAAAACTTTAGAAAAAAATAATTTTAGACAAGGCGGAAGGCATAGTTGTTGTACCTTACTGGTCAACGCAGCCCTGGTTCCCACTGTTTAAAAAATTGTTGGTAAATGATTTTATTGTTTTCCAACCCAATAAAAAAATTACTTACCCTGTGTAATTACAGATCACCGCACTCTCTTCACAAGAACCTATCTTTGATGGCAGGTCTGCTCTCCGCCAGAAATTTTTAAGCACAGGCATTGGTGAGGAAGCCACCAACATTATGTTGAATTCAGTATCAGAAAATACACTTAGGCAGTACTTACCTTACCTCAGGGACTGGCTTATATACTGTTCATCTAACAATATTAGTACAAATACTGCCAATATTTCACAAATTATAACTTATCTCACAGTAAAGTTTGATGAAGGTATGTCTTATGGAAGCCTTAACTCCATAAGATCAGCCTTGTCGTTATTGATAGGTTCTCATATTGGAATAAATGATCAAATAAAAAGATTATTTAAAGGGTTCTATAGGTTGAGACCAAATAATCCCAAATATCAATTCACTTGGAATGTATCAGAAGTGTTCAATTACCTTGAGCTTCATCAGATGGATACAAAGGATGTAAAATTCCAAACAAAGAAAACAGCAATGCTGTTTGCTCTAGCAACAGGACAAAGAGCACAAACCTTAGCATCAGTGGAAATTGACAAAATAAAAATAGAGAATGACAAGATTTGTATTACAATCTCCAAATTGTTAAAGACATCAGGCCCCTACAGACAGCAGCCATTGCTTGTATTACCTTTTTTTGATTTAAAACCTAATGTTTGTCCTGCTAGAGCAGTGATTAATTATTTGAAGTTAACTGAACAAATAAGAGGCAAGCAACATAAAAAATTTATTTATTTCATTTAAGAAACCCTATAGAGGGGTATCAGTAAGTACAATCAGCAGATGGATAAAAGACATTTTAAAAGAAAGTGGTATAGATGTGAACATTTTTTCTGCTCATAGCACAAGGCATGCTTCTACTTCAGCAGCATTCCATACGGGTGTATCAATAGATATTATAAGAAAATCAGCTGGTTGGACCGAAAATTCAATTTGTTTTGCTAGATTCTATAATCGTCCTATTTTGAACAATAAGGACACAATTTATGCTAATGCTGTTTTTAAAAAATATTAATATTGATGACTAATTGTAATTATAATAATTATTAATAAGAAAAGTTCTTAACCTTTATTGTTACAATTTAATTATAATTAAAGTCTGATTCTGTTCTGAGACTTTGAACATCTAACATATAGTATTATTTCCATCGTCGAGGAGAGACAACAAGGCTATAATTGAACAATCAAACGAGCTTACCTGTAAGCGAAGTTCGATTGAGATTATACCTTGTTGTCTCTCCGAAGACGATGGAACCCACCCATCCCCTATGAGACCAGGCTCAGTCCCAAATAGAATCAGACTTATGCTTTAAACTAAAATGAGTTGACAGATTGAGGCGCGAATGAGGTGCAACTAGAGGATGCGTTCAGAAATTTTAAAGTTACTTTTAACTTATGTAACGCCACCGAGATAAGAAGCGATACTAACATATAGTATTATTTCCATCGTCGAGGAGAGACAACAAGGTATAATCTCAATCGAACTTCGCTTACAGGTAAGCTCGTTTGATTGTTCAAATATATTAGTTTATATGGTGGTAAGAAGTGTATAAGATCATTCTCTTTACAGACTTGTAATACGTTTGGAATAATATATTTTATATATTTATTCTTAATAATTGAATAAAACTAATTTAATCTTAGTCTTTGGTTTTAAACTAAGTATATAAGAAATCACTAATACATAACGATAAAAGTATGCGGAAAAGCTTAGTATATAAACCAAAGATTTTTAATAAGTATTATGTGTTTATTTTGTAACAAAAACAGAAACAGAAACTTTTTTATTCAATGTAGATTATAAGCAATACTTATTGATAGTCAATTTTTTCATTTACCACTGGTTCGCAAAAAAAAACCTCTGTCCTGGGAAGAACCAGCAAGAAACCCAGCGGGACTATTTTTTTTTTTAATAATAGCTTACAATCATGTTTACAATCAACAACACAAGACAAATTAGAAATAGCTTGGTAGCGATCACCCTTCCCAGGGGTTATTATCATCTATAAATTCTTTAATATTATAATAAACCTTTTTATACAAACTTAGTTTAATAACATTTTTGAACTTTGTGTATGACAAATTTTGTATATTTTCTGGGATTTTGTTGCAAAAGCGTATACATCGCCCCAAGAATGAATTACTGACTCGGTGTAGTCGAGTAACTGGTACTACCAGCTTGTGTCTGCTCCTAGTATTTACAGAATGAATATCACTTATTTTCGCAAAACTACTTTTATTTTTGTGTACGTACATTACATTTTCATAAATGTATTGAGAGGCCAGAGTTAATATATTAAATTCCTTAAATTTTTGTCTCAGTGACTCTTTTGGTTTTAAATTATATATTGCTCTAATGTCCCTCTTCTGTAAAATAAATATAATTTCAGTGTCAGTCGCGTGTCCCCATAGCAAAATACCATACGACATAATGCTATGGAAATAACTAAAGTAAACTATTCTTGCTGTTTCAACACTGATAAGAGTCTCTCAGTCAGTGATCTTTTTTACAGCATATGCTGCACAACTAAGTCTGCTAGCTAGTTTTTATATATGAGGGAGCCATTGAAGCTTTGCGTCTAGTGTGATTCCAAGAAAAATGGTGGTATCAACAAGACTCAGTTCTTCCCCATTTAAAATTAAATTCCTATTAACATGTTTGACATTAGGAGTTACGAATTTCATACATTTAGTTTTAGTTCCATTTAAATGCAAATTATTAACATTAAACCAATTGACTGCCTTAGCTATAGCATTATTTACTTCGTCGTAATTTAATAACTGTCGTTTTAATTTGAAAATTAATGAAGTATCATCAGCAAATAATACTATGTAATGGTTATCTCCTACTATGTAAGGTAAGTCATTAATATATACAAGAAACAGAAAGGGGCCGAGAATTGAGCCCTGAGGCACGCCCATTTGTAGTCATAACAAATTTACATTTTTATTTTTTATATATTTAATTTACTCATATATTATTATGTTTAATTAACTCATACTATTAATTACAAATTTTTTCGTTCTGCCACTTAAATATGAAATAATTAATTTAAGAGCATCACTTCTTACACCGTAGTGTTGAAGTTTCCTGATTAATGTTTCATGGTGAATACAATCGAAGGCCTTGGATAGGTCTCAGGATATACCCAAAGCATCCTGTGAATTCTCCCATGCATTAAAGATATATTTAATAAGCTCAACACCAGCATCAGTTGTTGAGCGACCCCTTGTGAAACCGAATTGATTTTTATGAAGTAAATTATTTACATTAAAAAAAATTTAACATTTGATCAAGAATAATTTTTTCAAAAATTTTACGTAAGTGTTGGCAGTATAGAAATAGGTCTAAAATTAGCGGGGTCCAATGTACTGCCAGATTTAAATAAAGGTATTACTTTACTATGCTTCATTAAATCAGGAAACACACCAGATTTGATACTAATATTAAAAATAATAGATAGTTGAGGTGCGATTGCATCTATTATAGACGCAATAATTTTAACGGAAAGTAAATATATTATTAACACAAATTTTATTTTATTATGTTCGTGTATAAGTTTTTATTACTTTTATAAGTATAATTTTTAATTACACTTAGAATTTTTATTTGTAATAGTCATTTATCACAACAAAAGTCTTGACACACCGGATCAATCATTCAGAAAACACATACTGCCTCTTCTAATGAAGCCCCATGGGCAGGATCCTGCTCTTAGTCCAAATCTGTTTCCTAAGCTATCTTCTTCTGAATCTACAGGTAGAATTGGCCTATGTTTAATCGTTGTACGTTTTGTTGCAATTGTTGGGTTCTTCTTACGAAGTGCTGCACTCCATTCTAGACTCATGACTAGAAACACACAGAGAGCGAATTTTATATTCATTTTAATTCAAAATGTTATATTTTATTTGTTATTTATTCACAAAGTTATAAATAGTTTCGAACTTAGCTACTTTACAACTGTGATGTAAATATTGTCTTGCAGCTCCTTTTATACCGAGGAAAATAATGAATCGTAAACATAATTCTCTTTTCCTCATAGGTGTATTCAAATGCTGCGTTTAATAATATTTCAACGATGATAAGTAGAATTTTACACAGTTGATGACGTAGTATATGTCATGCTAATACTATCAACACCAGAGAAAAAATCCAAAACATCTGTAGTGTTATGCTTACATACATACTTACATATCATTTTACACTATTTTATTTTTATTTTTCCATTCTGTTTTTTGATTTTCTACATTCACCTCAAAACTGGATATTTTGCATCACCTTTATTTCCATAGGATCCTGTAATATTTTTAATTCATAAGAACACAATAACAAATCATTTTCACTTCGTATTTTCACGTTATCAGCACTTTTTAAATCGGTGTCAATGGAGTCTACCTTTTTTCGATCTTTTATTTAGTTCTCCGTAACTCTACAATTTCGGGTTTCGTGCGCGCTCTTGCGCTACCTTTTTTCCTATATAAATAATATCTCATTTTTCACTTAAATCTTGCCGTTTCTGTATTACGAGCTTAAAACCAAAATTTGACATGTTTTGACATCGTTGTTTATCTGGTTGTCGTGGCAATTTTTATTCAAATATTGTTACCGGCCTGATGTTTTTACTTCAAAAATACTCTTTTCTTCTTGGCCATTTACAAAAATTTGCTTTTAATTTAAATAATTTCAAATAATTTCTCGTTCTTATCCCAGATCCGTCAAAAAGTATAAAAGCCGAAGAATCGGCCGATAGAGGTCCTCACTTCAGCTTTGATACGAGAAGCACCTCTTAAAGGCTTTATCCGCACTGCCTCGGGATCTTGCAAGCCTTCTCCTGAAGTCGTCGCCTAGCCACGCCTACGCCTCCACCTATTAGTGCCCGCGCTATCTTCGGCCGCTGAGCGTGCTTGTCTCAAGCGCTGCGTGTTCCTACTCCAGACGCTGCGTGTCTACTCCGGACGCTGTGTGTGTCTACTCCGGACGTTGTGTTTGCCTACTTCAAGCGCCACGTGTACCTACTCCAGACGCTGCGTGTCTACTCCGGGTGCTGCGTGTATCTGCTCCGGGCGTTGCGTGTGCCTACTCCAAGCGCTGCGTGTACCTTCTCCAGACGCTGCATGTGCTTTCTCCAGATTCTGCGTGTACCTAGAGCAGGCGCTGTGCACCTATCATAGGCATAGCCTGTGCATACTTCGTTGCAGTATCTTTATTTTTGTTATTTTTTTTAATAATATTGTAAATCACTATCATCATTACAGCCCATCATCACCTTCATACCTTTTTTTATAAAAGAAACTGTAAATCTTTTCAAATTTTTAAATAATTTATTTTATTTTTGGTTGTTTTGTTGTAGTTAGGTTAGGTTATTTAGTTTTTAATTGTCGCTTTACGACAATTTGGCGCCCGACGTAAAAGTTCTTCTTTTCTTCACCTTAGCTACGCCTTATCCATTTCCTTTTGATTGAATTGCTTTCTCTTTCGTTCTTAACTCTTTATTTACTCATCCTTATCATATCTTCCAAATTCTAAAACAAAACTTCATCTAGTTTTTCAACTTATCTGGATTATATTTAGACCTACATATAACACTTACATTCATCACCTTAATATTTTTATTCTAGAGAACTTAAAGAGGTACTATCTTCCAAATTCTAAAACAAAACTTCATCTAGTTTTTCAACTTATCTGGATTATATTTGGACCTGCATATAACACTTCACTTACATTCATCACTTTAATATTTTTA